ATCAAATCAAAGGGTAATTTTGAAAATTAATATTTTCAAAGTGTAATAATTGTACTACTAAAAAAAAGTTAATATTTTTAAAAAGGACTTATATTTTGGGCATGATAGAGTAATAAATGTCTTTATAATGAGACTAAAATGACCTTTTTATTTTTCCTTTGATTTTACCTCTTGATATTACAATTCTTATTTTTTATATCGCTTTTCTTTTTCTTTTTTCTTTTTTTTTAAAAATTTTCTTTTCACCCACTCGTCCAGATGAAAGTAGACAATTATTTTTTGTTCATGGTTGTGTTAGTTTTTTTTTTTTTTTTTGAAATTTTTATTTGTGTTTGTTAAAATACACTATTAATTTGGTTGAATTTTTAGAATTTATTTTTTAGAAAAAATTAAAAAATTAGGTTGATAAAAAAAATAATAAACGCTCATTATTTTTATATAAATTTCTCTTTTTGATAAACAAGTGATTTGAAAATTTTAAAAATATTCACTGTGTTTGGTTTGAGTTTTCTGGATTAAATTTTTTTAAAATTGAGTTTTTTGATTTTCATATTTTTTTGTTTTTGGTGAATATTTTTAAAATTTTAAACATTTTTTTTTATTTTTTTAGATGCACCTTACTTAGATGTGTCTAAAAAGTAAAAAAATTGTGAAAAAATATTTTAAAAAATTAAGAAATACATAAAAATACAAAAAATGTACTAAATTCTTGTATTTTTTTTTAATATTTTTGGTATTTAGTGAATTTTTAAAAGATTTTTTTTATAATTTTTTTACTTTTTAGGTGTATTTATGTTAGGTGTGTCTAAAAAGTAAAAAATTTGCATAAGATATTTAAAAAATTCAGTAAAAACAAAATAACACGGAAAATAAGAGTGTAGAAATTTTCTGAAAACTGTTTTTAAAAAATGGGAACCAAGCAAAGTAATTCTTTTTTGTATTTATTTTTTTATCAAACTAAATTTTAATTTTTAAAAATCAACCAATACAAATATTTTGTAACTAGAAACTTTTATGTTGCAATATAAATATTTTGAGAGCTTACTGCGTTAGTACCGTTAAACACACACAAAAAAATTACCTTACAGTTTTGTTTTGTTTTATTTTGGTTTTTTTTTTTGGGAGAGGGGGAGAGGGGTTTTCTATCACCATAATATTGCACATAAATGGGGAAAAAAATTAGTTTCTTCAAAATATTAAATTTATTTTCACTTTCGTTGAGATTGTTGAAATTATTTATTATTTTTTTAATATGTGCCCTAAGGGCAACTTTTAAAATCATCATTGTCTTGTAAAAAAATATTATCAAAATATGAGGTTATAATTTGATTAATTTAATTTTTTATATAAATAATTTAGGTTGTTGACGTGGGGACTATGGTGAGCCCCACATTGCGAACAACAACTTCAATCTGTTTGTGAACAGGAGACAATTTACTGCGCATTTAAAACGAAATCCAAGGCATTAATGTTAGTAATGTTGACAACTCAAAATATATATATATATATATTATATTTATATTGTGTTTTTTTGTGTCAATTTCTTACCATAGTTTCATATTTATTTTTTTTATATTTATTTTTGAGTTGTTTTAGTAATTACAGTGAGAAACAGTGGTAACAAAAAACGAATAAAAATCAATTTCTGACTATAAATTAACATTTGAGAAAATGCAACATATCAAATCTAACAAATTGGTCCTCATGAATAGTGCAAGTAGACAAAAAATTTAATGATAGTTATTTTAGGAAGGTCATTGCCACTATTAAATTAAATTTAGGGATAATTTGGTATTATTGATAGTTTAGGTGGCCAAATTGCACTTTCAAATATCTTTTATGGGCAATTGGCTCTTACTAATTTTGTAGGAGCTAATTTCCCTTTCGAATATATCTTAGGAGCAATTTGTTTAAACTCATTTTTAAGAGACTAATTGCACTTTCTTATTTCTTTCAAGAGATAATTTGGTAAATTTTGGTTTTGAACATCTTTGTGGGACAAATTATCAAAAGCCCTTTCAATTGTACTGATTTTGGTTTTTAGAAACTTTTTGGGAAGGAAAATGTGTGCTCTTGTTGGGAAAAAAAGTATTTCATAATTAAGATGACTCACATCAATCAAAATATTTGGGCTAATTATATTTTGTATATTGTTTGAATAAATTCATTTTTATTATTTTTATTGATAAATAATTGAGATAAACAAAGATAAATTATTTTATATAATGGATATATCACCTAACTCTGATGTCATGATATATCCTTTTAGTCATTAAGAAAGTATTTCATGTGATGGGTACATTACTGGTTAAGATGACATGGTATCGTCTTTTCATTCATTAATTGACAAATAATAAACAATGGAATTTTTGTTTAATATGGTCAAACATTTAATATCTCAGGTTAATAAACAAAATTACTCCTACCATCTCATTTTTATCACATATTAATTAATGAATGGAAGGATATGACACATAATCTCAGTCATATGCCATATTCATTGCATAAAATATTTTTTAAAAAAGTAAAAAAATACATTGTACCATTTCAATTATGTCATTTCAATCGCGTGATACACGTATTACATGAAATACTTTCTCAATAGGAAATAACTTCTTTGCATTCGACTTTGGTAGATTGCATCGTGTAATTTGCCCACTATGGGTCCATTCTTGGCCCAAGTCAATAATTCAAATTATTTATTGAATTATTTATTTTATAAGATTATTTATATGGATCATTCATGTTAAAATTTAAGTTAATCGAATATTAATGGAGATGTTTGGTGCAGTTATTAAAATAGATTATAAATTATATAGAGAGTGTTTTGGGAAGATAGTTAAAAACTGACTTTTTGATTTTTTTTTTTTTTGTTGACTTTTTTGCTTTTTTATGTGAGAGGGAAAATGAGTTAAAAGTTGAAAAATGACTTTTAACTCACTTCTCAAAATGAGACTTAATCCTTGTTTAGTAAACATCTTGGGGCTAAAAAAACACAAAAAGATATAACAGGCTATATAAGCAAATAAAACAAAATGTCACATCCAAACCATAATTATTATATTTTTTCTTTCACAAAAGTAAAAAAAAATACAAAAATAAAAACCAAACGAGGCTAAACAAGTCAAGTTCAAAAAGTCACAACAAAAAAGTTGGCTACCGTAACCAATGACAAACGAAGCTTGATTATAGATTATAGTTTTAATTAGAAATTGTTAATTTGTTTGGTGCAATGAGTTATAAATTTAAGTTTCTGAGTAGAGTTTATGAATAAGTTGTGAAATTACTTTTTGAATTAATTTTTATTTTTTGTTATTATAAATTTAAGTTGCTGAGTAGAGTTTATGAATAAGTTGTGAAATTACTTTTTGAATTAATTTTTATTTTTTGTTATTCATTATTAGTCCACATTTCTTCTAAATAATAATAATAATAATAATATTTCATAGTCCATTTGGGTCTTTTTGTATTTTTTTAAAAATGGAAAATAAAAAAAATTAAGTATAAATTTTAAATTAACATACCCACAATAGAAGGGGTTGAGCAATTTTTTAGAATTAGTTTTTTTAAACTAAAATAAATTGTTATAATAAAAAACTGTTTGACATAAATTTAGCCAAACAGTCTAAAATAATGTTTTTAAAACTAGAATATATAAGTTAACTGAAATAAGCCACAACAAGCACCCCCAATAGCCATACAAATAGATCATATGTTTCTCTTAAAATTTGGATGGCATATCTCATTTCGAAAATTAATTGTGCATTTTTTTATTGAAAAATGTGATCCGATCATGTGACTACCGATATCCGATTTATTTAATTTTTGACGTCGGTGATGTGCTCAAAGGGTTCCATAAAACGACTAGTTCTATCGAGGTGAATTTACAGTAAGAAAAATGTTTGAGGGCCACAAAAACAGTAGCTCAAATGGCTCAAAACTGTCAAAACGACATTGTTTTGGCAGGTTTTGCTCCCAAAACGACATCATTTTGGCAGTTTTAAGCCATTTGAGCCACTGTTTTTGTGACCCTCTACCATTGCTGTTATAGTAAATCCTAAGAGGTTTGACTTAGTAGGAGGAGAGGTAAGCAAAGGGCTTACAATCTTAAAATTTAAGATTTAAGAATTTGACTAAGGCCAAACATCTCAAATCTTAGATTACTAGAGATTTGTCTGATTGTTAAATTCAAGAATTCAAAATTAGGAGTTGTTTGAGATGATCTAAATAAATGTACTTTTTGACTTTTTATGAAAAAATGTAAAATATGGATTATATGGGTTATATTTGAAATAATATGGTAGAAAAATTATGTGACTTAAATAAGATAATATAACTTAAATAGAATAGTAACTTTTTAACTATTTACTTACTTAGGCTTTGTAAGTTAATCCAAACACCCAATTAAAAAAGAAAAAAAAGATAAAGAAGGGTGGACTGTTGAATTGGCTACAGATTCTGGAGGTCACCCCATGTGAAAGGGGTGATCCTCATGTCAACAATGGAAGGCCACCAACCTCATGTCAACAATGGAAGGCCACCAACCATGTCAAAAGTCAAAGAATGAGGGCTCTCCCACCTACTCCTTTGTGTATAAATAGAGACGGGAGGGAGAGGATATAGATATCAGATGTGGAGCTGAGAGGTGTGAGTTGAGAGCAAAGAGAGAGAGAATTACAGAGAGTGTTGTAATTCACCATTTTGTTCAATATAGTGAATCCGCTGCCCGTGGACGTAGGCGACTTGCCGAACCACGTTAAAACTTGTGTGTTATTGCTTGTTTGAGTTCCCTGGTGTGCCCCCGATCCTCAACATGGACTTCCGGTAGACCCACACTTCGCAGTAGATATATAGAAACAATTTCATTCTTAGTAAGCCAGATTTGCCAGAAATGCAAAGGATGACAAATGTGAAATCTATTAATAACAAAACTCCATTCTTCTATTTAATTCTCCTTCCCATGTATATCCCTCAATTCTTTACTCTCCTTATCTTTTCTTTTTTCTTTTTTCTTTTATATTTGGCCAGTTCAAGTTTAAATACAGAGAATCAAATTTTCCTCCATTTTCTTTCACTTTCTCTCTCTCTCTCTGTCCAAAAACTGTTTGGTTTCGCAGGTGTTTACTTCAATGGAACACTGAACAGCAAAACTACGTTGTTGTCATCATATCCTATACCTGAATTTGGGTCTGTAAATCAATGACTGTTATCCAGAACCATTCACGTGAAAACTTTCTCAACCCCATTTACATTCGCCTTTTCCTCATTGCAACTCTGCAAAATTTCGATCCAACCCAGAAATCCTTGAGGTTTACGTGAAGAAAAGAAAATCTCCACCCCCATTGATTTATTTTATTTTATTTTATTTTTATCTCAAACCAGGCAAAATTTTTAGTCCAGAGCTTGAGATTTTCATAGTTGCATGAAAGAATCTCTCAATTCTCACCAAGGTTTTGTTTTTTCTTACAAAATTTTGAGAAGTTTTGATATCAGATCATACCCAGAAAAATCTGATAAAAACCCAAGGATTTTCAATTGTAGATGAGGATACATTCATTACCCATTAATGATTAGCCTTAGTTGATCAGTTTTATTTTATTTTCTTGATTGATTCTTATTGGATTTTTTTTATTTATTTTGTGTGATAGGTTTGTGATTTAGCAGCTTTGCCGGAATTCAATTCTCTAGCCATGGATTCTGGGAAGCTTGAATACTGGAGAAACTTCTTCAGGGGTGCCAAATCGAGTATGATTGAGATCATTGAAAGTGCAGTTATGGTAGCATCTTTGGATTGCCCAGATGAACTTAAGCTCCGTAGGGATCGAATTTCGGAGAAACTTTACTGTTCTCACTGGTCTGATGTTTTTCGGGCTGATCAAACCAAGTTGGTACTGCCTAAAAAGGAAAATTGTGATGATTTTCCTGACAGTAAGTCAGACAGAGATGGCAGTAAAGTGGAGGAAAGAGATTATAAGAAAAGGTTAGTTGTCAATGGCGGAAAAGTCGAGAAGATAGATTGTAAGAATGGGTTAGTTGTCAATGGTGGTAAATTAAAGGATAGAGATTGCAATAATGGGTTAGTTCTCAATAGGGCTAAGCTGGAGGATAGAGATTGCAGGAATGGGTTAGTTGTCAATGGTGTTGAATTGCAGGATAGAGATTGTAAGAAAAAGTTAGCTCTCAATGGTGGTAAAAAAGTGGAGGATAGAGAGTGTAAGAATGGGTTAGTTGTCAATGGTTGTAAATTGGAGGATAAAGATTGTAAGAAGAGATTTGTTGTCAATGGTGGTAAATTGGAGGGTGGTGGTACTCTTGAAACCAAGGTTGAGGATAGCAATAAAAATGAAATTGGAGATATGTCCTTGACCCCTGTTAGCATGATCAGTGACCTCGAAGCCGAGGCATTGGCTGATGAGATAGATGAAGAGAACCTGATTGTTGCAGAGGTGCTTAGAATCAAAGAAATTCTTCTGAATTTTGAAGAGCAGGTTTTTCCTAATTCTTCCATTTACAAATCATTTCACAATTTTCATTATATATTACTTAGCTATCTAGTTCTTTGCACATTTGAGATATGTTTATTTATGGTTTTGTTCACTTTGATTCATTTGTTTGGTTGTACTTTGACCTATTTGTGGTACAGTCTATTTCCATGTTGCTCGAATGCTTGAGGAAGCTTCAATTGATGACTTTATCCTATGACATTCTAAAGGTAGGAAGTGAATCAATTGGTTGTCAACTTGTTATTACTATTGATTTATCTATGTGTTGGTATAGAGGTTTAGTTTTTTTATTTATTTATTTTTTCAATTCTCATTGCTTTCAGAAGTAATTTGAATCTTTAGCGGCACTCTTATTCATTCGGTGCAAATGAAAAATGATCAACATGCTTTACATAGAAACTATGTTCTATCCATCTTGTTTTTTTTTTTTTTCCTCACTTTAGTTGCATAAAAGATGCATCAATTTTGTAAGCACCACTTTGGAATTTAATGAATAGCATTGTCTCAACTTATTATTATCCTAATCACATCTGTGTTCCACGTGGAAATAGTTCTATTTCTATGTAGGAAACCATTCATTCTAATTAATTACGTTGACTTTGGTTTTCAATTTTGGTAGATAAGTTTGTGGATATTCATTGTGCTTTTCTTCCTCAGGCAACGGAGATAGGAAAAGTAGTTAATTCTCTTTATAAGCACGGGCCAGCACAGTCTTGTCAGCTAGCAAGGACGATCGTGAAGTATGAATCAGTGCTATGACTGACACTTCGTATTCCTCCTTTATGTTTATTTCCTGTTTAGTAGAATCCATTTGGTTGTAATGTTCTTTTACCTTAGAAAAAATTAATAATAATCATAGCGTTGCTTTCCCCTAGGTTAACACATACACACACACATGAATATAATGAATTAGTTATTTTAGTCAGAATTTCGATCTTGATAAAACAGAGAAGGGTTCAATTTTTTTCACAAAGATGACGTGGTCAACACATTAGCTATTCTCATTAAAAGCAAGTTATTTCCCTTTTAAGGGGATCGATCTCCTCTTAGCTATGAGCCTAATTAGCAAGACTAACTCGAAAAGGTACATTCTTGTCCATCATGGAGATTTGAACTTGGGGCCATGCAGTTGTAGTAGCATTATCCTTCATGGAACTCACTACTGAAGATTATTCAAGGCTAATGTTTAGAAATAATATGAATTAAATCTAGTAAGTTATTACCATGAAGACTTGAGAAAGGTCCCAAAGTATATTTCAAAATCATAATGCCCTAATATATGAATAAAATGTTGGAATATAATTTGAAAAACTTGATGATGATTTGGGATGAGCTTGAACTCAATTGGAGAAGCTTGGAACAAGCTTGATTGTTTAGCATGACACGAGTCTAGAAGCCACAGTAATGCAGTCAATTCTAAGTTTTGTTTCCTTTGTTTTTAATCCTACCCTCATCATCATTGCTACTAATAAGCTTTATTCTTTGTGTCCATTTTTGACAATTGTAATCTCTTTGGTGTTTCTCTTATGACAGTCACACTGGATTTCCTTAGTGAAGTTAAGAAATTGATCAGAATGTCCTTTTATTATCCCTCTTATTTTGTTATGACCCTTCAACTCTAGCTTATTGATCCTAAGACAAGTGTACTCTAGGTTTCCAAGTTCAAATCCTTAGTAAGAAAATCTTGAACAACAATGGGTTGGCTCCGTTAGGCTTAGGTTTCAGACATTCTGTTCTGGTTAGCGAAAGTTAACTATTAAAAAATGTAACAATTGTGGAATAACATGTTTCTTGAAGCCTTGTACTATTGACTGTGGATGAAGTTCTCATGCCTAATAAGACTCAATCACGTATACATTTACAACTTTCCTCATTTATGAAGATAGTTTCCTAAGTTGTTCTTACATTACAATAAGTGATTAGAATTCAGTGAAGCATCGCCAATACCAATTCGCCAAGGCTTCCCCAATAAAATAAGAAAAGTAGATAACTAGGATGTGTGGACACTTCGGATGCTCATGCTCTGAAAAATGAAGTAATATCAGGATATGGGTTTGATTGTGGCTGAAAAATGAACTCATTCAATGCTGATATTCTAGGATTAGAAATGCCAATCATGTAGGATTTGGACACTTACAAAACTTTACACTAATGCACTATGAGTTCTTGTGAATGTCACGTACATTTAGCAAATGATATACAATTTATATAAAGACAAAGAAGCTAAATTTGTAATCTTTTCTAAATCCATGATTCAATAAACATAAACTTAATTATGTAGCAAAGAAGTCATAACTTCCACCATGATAAATTTGGAACTCTATTATTGAAAGGATCTTTGCCATGTCGTTTTTTCCCACCCCATGAAACTGTACCTATTGTGATCCTTTCTAAGGGGAAAAAGAAGTTACAATTGAAGATTAAAAAATAAAAATAAAAAGATGCTTATGAGATTCACAGCTTGCTCAAAGTCTTACTGAAATGTTTTCCCTCAAACTCAGTGTTTATAAACATAGCTTATATTGGTGAGGCACTTCCTTTACAAAATTATTTGTTGTTTATAACAGAGATTGGAAGAAAGTGGCGAACGAGTGGTTGAATGCTACACTACTTGCTGAAGGTAACAAAGCTGCAAACTTTTCTCCAACTTGTTTTCCTTGCATATTACCATTCATGACTATGGGCTGAAATGTTGTCCTTCATATGCTGATAAATTTGTGGGTACAGCAGATATTGCCAATCCTGTGACCCCATCACTTGTTGAAAATGAACTTGACGATGGACTAGGGCTCGCTTTACCTCCATTGGATGTAGGAGCTTTCTTTACTAATCCAATTTGTAGTATGGAGCTCTCTCAGGTACTGTATATGCAGTTCTTATTGTTGTTTGATGTTATTGCATTTTTTAATGCATTGTTCTTCAACAAAGTGACTTACCTCTTTTGTTGTCCTAAATTGGAATGCAGTTCTTTGATGGAATGGATGATTATGAAAGTGGGTAAAATTTAGAATATATTTGTCCCTTTTTTACTTAATATTTAGCGGCTTCACGGAATAGTCGGTCAGTTTTTAATATTGTGATTGTGAGGACTAGTAAAATCTGTTGGAGAATTGCAGAACCCCGAATCAGTGCAGAACTTAACAAGAATCATGACAATGAAAAGAAACATTCACCAGTCAAGCATGACATCAGCAAGAAGAAATCAAAGCTTTCCAAAAAGGCTAATGTGATTGTCAAAGACATGGGTTTATCTAAAGAGGTTAATGTGGTTGTCAAAGACACGAATGTAGCAATGAAGAAAGAATCTGTTGTGAAGGTACCTAAGGAGCCACAGAATGAATCTGGTTCCGGGAAACTTCTCAAACAGAATTTGGACGAAAAGCTCAAAGATAAAACCAAGTTTCATCAGAACTCGGACAGGGTTGTCATACGGAAGAGGCCATTAACAGGTGAAAATGATGTAAGCATTTCAATTATTATCTCATGGTTTCCAACTTGAAGATTGAATATCCATTTAATACATGTTTATTATTATTATTATTATTATTATTATTATTATTATTTTTCTGTTACAATTTGAAGTTTTCAGATAAATCTGTGATAGAAGAGAAACTTGAATCCACAAGAAGGAAACTGAAGGTCTGTAAATTTGTACTTCTATGCTTTAATTGTTTTTCTTTTTTGATTCTGTTGGTGCAAAAATAGTAAATGTGATTGCTTCAAGGCTTATGTATACAATGAAATCTGGTCCTAATGACTGTTGTCTGACTGCTTTATGTATAAACGAAATCAGATTTTGAATACCATTAGAATTTCAAATCCAAGGAAAGATGAAAAATAATGAATATGGATTTTAGATAGAAAACATTGAAAGTTCTATGTTCAAATGCCAATGCCTTTTCCTTTATATAAGCTTTTGTATTGTGACCCATGGACCAAATTCTAATATCTTTTGGTTTAAACCTAATGGTCATACCTCTTAGTTTAAACTCAATAATCGCGCATCTCTCTGAACTCACATAACCAAAAATATTTATTTACATATATACAAATATATTCTGAAAATGTTCTGACAGTTTCATAGATTTTTGGTTATTAACTTGTAATTGTAATCTCAAAGATAACTTCCTTATATGATTTTCTTTGTCATTGAACAGCTAAACAGCAAAGGACTATACAAGTAATGGATTTGCATGAACTTCCTAAGCAGCTGCATGGTCACAGGAATACACACATGTGAAGGAAGATGAGCCATCATTGTTCATTTCACAAATAAACATGGATTTGCTAGGTACTCTTGATTTTGGAGACTCGGTTCAATTATCTTTTGCTTTTCATCCATAATTTTGGAGTCAATAATGGAAGAAAAGTCGGCTTTATATATATATAGTTAAATTATAGTTTACCGACAGAATCTTTGAGAAGATAGATGATCATAAACTTGATTGAAATTGCCTGATCAGATAAAGTCTGGAACAGGTAAAATTATCTTCAAATTTGAACTTGTGGAAATTGAGCTAATATTATGTATACATTAAAGTTTTTGTGGATTCTTGAATGAATCATATATGTTTATTTCTTGTGGTAAATATGTTCTGTATAAGCTTTTCTCTGCAGCTCATGTGATCATACATTGCCCATGTTATATCACAGTTTGTTTTTCCAGTGAAAAAAATGTAATCAAAATGTTTGAAAAGTGTAATGGCTTTAATATATTGACCATTTTACCTTTTAAAAATGAACTTTCCAATATATTTGTTGGATCTTGATAGAATTTGTTTACTGTCCTGCCTCTTCATGCATTTTTCATCAGATTTTACAATTGTTTGCATAATTATATGGTTTTTCCATTCCTCATTCGTCAACTTATTGATATAATTTTCATGAATTCTTCATAATAGTTGGGTTTAGAGCTTTAGTTATATCTGTTGTGTATTTCTACAATCAAATTACAGAGAAATTGCTAAGTTTTCATAGTGATTAAAGTTGATGAATAAAGTCTAGGGGGTTTCCATGGAGATCATAAAGATGTACTTTGATGTATATCTAATAGACCTTTTTTTTTTTTCCCAATAAAACAACTTACATTTCATAGATCCATTCTTATAGAAATTGAACATTTTCGTTCTGTTTATTGTTGCACTTGTACTAGATTGTAAATGGACCAGCTATGAAGCATCGACACTCATAGTAGTGTCGGGCACGGGGACACGATGGGTATATATATGGTGTGTCTCTTTATTTAAGTAACTTATTTTTAGATGACACGTCGGGGACAAGTCAACTAGTTTTTTTTTTTAAATACTTATAATGGATATTGAATGTTAAATGTTGAATGTTTATTTTTTTGCTTAAATTTAAATTTCATAGATCATCAACAATAAGAGTTATATTAAAAGTAAGAGTTTTTTTTTTTTTTAATGTATTGTATTAATGTTAGTTTTATAAGAAATATAAAAATATATATCAGAAATATTTTATTAATTATGTTTCCGTTGCACCAGGTGTCTTCATTTTTTTATCACAATATTCATGTCTATATTCGTGCTCGTGTCTTTTAGTGGATTATATAAGAAACATTTAGTGTATTGTATTAATTTATATAGCAAATAAAAATATATATAAGAAATATTTTATTATTATGTTCTCGTTGCATCAGGTGTCTCCATTTTTTATTACAATATTCATGTCTATATTTGTGCTCATGTCTCTTAGTGGATTATGAAAAAATATTGAGTGCAACGGTGACACCATCTTACGTAATCACCGACCAATAAAAAGTCCTAAAGGAACTAAGTGGAGAAGTCTTGTCTCCCACTAATGCAACATTGTTACTGCATTATTTATAAGATAGTGATACCGTCACGTGGTGGTCGGTGCAGTCATCGAAGGTTGTGGCCGGTGGTAGGATTGGTAGAAGGTAGTCATCGAGGTGGTGGCCATCGATTGGAGGGTCACCAGAGGTGGCGCGATCAGGGCCAATTTTGCGTTAGAGTGTTGAAAGCTTGAAATATATAAGCATGAAAAAAAAAAAAAAAAAAATCCACATGAATTTAAAAGGCCTTGATAAAGTTCGTGAACATTCAACACTAATAAATGATTGTTTTGATGAGTTATGCAAGTGATATTTTGTGACGATTTATTTAGTACTTGGGTTTAATTATTTTGTCTTTTTTTTCTTATTGTAAATTTTTATAGTTGTATATAGAAGGAACTTTTTGTAAGTATTGTCAAAATAATGATAATAATAATAATACATAATTTTTTATTACATTTTTTTTAAAAAAATTTATAAAAAGTCATTTATTGAGTGTTTACTATAACTCTTGAAAATGTCAGAATCAACTATGATGAATGATGACAGTGGTAGTAGAAGGGGATGGATGAGAGAATGGAAAGAGAATAAAAAGTTGTTTTGAAATACAACAAAACACAACTTGTTTTATTTCGAAGTTGTAAAATTTTTGAAATTAATTTTATTTTTGTCGTAACAAAAATAATTTTTATTATTAATTTTTTTTTATACAAAAAAGGCATAAAAGAAAACAAGAGGCGAAACCGTTGTCAAACGAGGTCTTGTATAAGGTATTTGACTTTGTTTCTTCATATATAATATATTAATATTAATATATATATAGTTTCTAATGCCCAAAATTTCTTTATTTGTTGTCGAGACTTGGGCTGGCATTATTAGACATTAATTAAACTTGGACTATTGACCAAATTCCCAAAACCATGTGGCATTCAACAAATGCTTGAACACTCGTAAAATTGACCTTATCATTTCCACTGGCAAAATAAAAATCACAATTGTCATCTTTTGAAAATTGATTTCCCAAATATTAAAATAAATTCCAAAAATATTGAGAGTTTTAAAGATTATTAAAATAATCAAATATTTTTATTTTATTTAGTGTCACATGGAGTGGCAACATTCGCAATGAATATCTTTCTTATTAGAGTTTCCTCCCTGTTGATATATATAAAATGTAGAATGTTAGAAAATTAGAATAGATGATTTACTTTTGGTTTGATTACTAAACTCTCTTTTGGGACACTCCAAATAAATTATTTATTGACTTATTCGCTTATAATAATCTCTCTATTAATTATTAAGTCAATTAATAGTTTTTAATTAAGAAATTTATTACGAAATCATTTTTAAGTACTTGTGTTCTAATTAGTTCACAACATATTCTTGTATTCTAGTAAATTTTATTATTTGGATATTTGATTTACCAAATTTTAATTCTCATATTTAAAATATTTTATGGATAATTTTACCCTTATAAATATTTTTTGAACACTTAACAATTTGGTGATGTAAACATTCATATTTGACAGTGTGAATGTTCATATTTGCTTAAATTTAAATTTCATAGATCATCAATAATAAGAGTTATATTATAAGTAAGAGTTTTTTTAGTATATTGTATTAATGTTAGTTTTTGTTAATTTTAATTATTTGTAGATGTAATATTAATTTACATAGCAAATGAAAACATATATAAGAAATATTTTATTATGGGTATGGCTTCTGTCCAGTCCGGGATCAGACTGGACTGTGCTGTTGGGCCCATGGGGGCCCACCACGGGTCTTGTTTTGATAATTTGAACCGTTCAATATGTAGAACTCGTCAAGTACTATATGCCTTTAAAAAATTATGTTGATCGGATATCGATAGCTATATGATCAAATCAGTTTTGTATTAAAAAAATTGGACGGTAAACAAATTAACGGTTGACAAAAAACTATTTTGATCACATAGCTATCGATATCCGATCAACGTGATTTTTTTACAGACATATAGCACTCGATGAGTTCTATACATTAAATGGTTTGGATTGCCAAAACGGGAGCCATGATGAGTCCCCACGAACCGAACATCACCGTCTAATCTGATTAAGGACCGGAGGCAAGCTACTCTTATTTTGAAAATTCTTTACTGATCTTCTTATTCACGAAAGTAAGTATTAAATTGTTTTACGTTTATCTCTAAAAAACTTACATTACACATCCATTCTTATAGAAATTGAACATTTTCCTTCTGTTTATTGTTGCACTTGTACTAGATTGTAAATGGACCAGCTATGAAGCACCGACACTCATAGTAGTGTCGGGCACGGGGACACGATGGGTATATATATGGTGTGTCTCTTTATTTAAGTAAGTTATTTTTAGATGACACGTTGGGGACAAGTCAACTATTTTTTTTTTTTTAAAATACTTTTAATGGATATTTGAATGTTTATTTTTTTGCTTAAATTTAAATTTCATAGATCATCAACAATAAGAGTTATATTAAAAGTAAGACTTTTTTTTTTTTTTAATGTATTGTATTAATGTTAGTTTTATAAGAAATATAAAAATATATATCAAAAATATTTTATTAATTATGTTTTCGTTGCACCAGGTGCCTCCATTTTTTATCACAATATTCATGTCTATGTTCGTGCTCGTGTCTTTTAGTGGATTATATAAGAAATATTTAGTGTATTGTATTAATTTACATAGCAAATAAAAATATATATAAGAAATATTTTATTATCATGTTCTTGTTGCATGAGGTGTCTCCATTTTTATCACAATATTCATGTCTATATTTGTGCTCATGTCTCTTAGTGGATTATGAGAAAATATTGAGTGTAACGGTGACACCATCTTACGTAATCACCGGCCAATAAAAAGTCCTAAAGGAACTAAGTGGAGAAGTCTTGTCTCCCACTAATGTAACATTGTTACTGCATTATTTATTAGATAGTGATATCGTCACGTGGTATCGTCACGTGGTGGTCAGTGCAGTCATCAAGGTTGTGGCCGGTGGTAGGATTGGTAGAAGGTAGTCATCGAGGTGGTGGCCATCGATCGGAGGGTCAAGTACTTGTATTCTAAGTTAATTAATAGTTTTTAATAATAGTTTTTAATAATTAATAGTTTTTAATTAGAAAATTTATTACAAAATTATTTTTCAAGTACTTGTATTCTAATTAATCCACAACATATTCTTGTATTCTAGTAAATCCTATTATTTGGACATTTGATCCACGAAATTCTAATTCTCATATTTAGAGTATTTTATGAATAATTTTACCCTTATAAATATTTTTTGAACACTTAGCAAGTTGGTGATGTAAACATTCATATTTGACAGTGTGAATGTTCATATTGACATGTGAATATTTACATTGACAATGTGAATATTTACATTGACAGTGTGATTATTCACATCACGGAATATTCACACTATCAATATGAACATTAATGCATGTTTCACTCTATTATTATTAGGGATATTTTGATAACTATGTCACTCATAAAACTTATTGGAATATAAAAAAATAATTTGGACTAAGTGGAACATAAGTAGGTAAAGAGTGATTTATGAATAAATGTCCCTTTTTAATTATGTCAGAAATATATTTCAATTAACAATTCAGATAATTTTATTATTGTATAAGATAGTAGTTAAAAATTTTAATTTTTCCGTTAATCCTGTTAAATAAAAAAATTATAACTGTAATTTATAAAATCACAAGTGACAATTTGTGTTT